TATTCCTAGCATCTTTTGGACTTTCATAGAGGATTGAAAAAGAACCGAAACCCTTTACAACTGCTTAAATAACCCCACAGAGTCATTGGCAAGCCCCTCGTGCTTCAGCTATGGATGAAACTTGGCTCAGCTTGGTGTCATCCTTATAGGTTTTGAATGGGTCAATTTGTATCAGAAGTGTTGCTGAGAAGTCACTATAGCACATGTCAATGCCGCCTCTTTGATGAAAGGACATTGGTCTTTTTCGTGGTCAAACCAAAGATGAGGTTCATTGAGATAGAGTAACCATGAAATGAATGGCCATCACCCAGGGAAATGAATTGAACTTGAACTATCTCCTGGTATCTCCCCTTCCAAAACGGATGCATTCTGGAAGCAGAGGTTCATATTAGTCCACACAGATTCTCCAGTGCATAGAAGATCACCTGGATTTGTCAAATGTTGAATAATTATTATCCAAAGAATAAAAGAGAAAAAGATGTGCCCATCCACATGTTCTTTATAAGGCTATTGCTATAACGGATTGTTATTTCAGCTGAAGCAACTGACTGATTAAATGAAGACAACACATTATGTTTCCCCCTCCTCCCTGAGTGTGTTCAATAGTTTGTGTGGTTCAAATCATGCTTACAGAGAAGCTGACTCGAGGAATAGTAGCCCTACCTAGAAAATTCTTAACCCCTCTCTTGGCATTGGGACTTTTTCACATCAAAATTGTTTTTCCCTCCAAACACTAAGTAAAAATGGGCTTTAAACTGTGAGAACTTGGAGTTTCATCTCAGATTCTAGTTCTGATTATCTTTGATAAGTCACAAAATAACCAACATTTGAACTGTGGAAATATGTTACATTTCTCATACCAAGGGAACAGCAGAGAGGAGATGGCCTACGTGTGAGTTAGTGCCAAATTCCTCCCACAATGGCAGCTTTTCTACCCAGGTGCATGCAAAAAATATCCTTGAATCTAGGCCTGCCCCTGTGATTTAGCATTGGTATGCCACTTACATGTCAAATAAATATGTTCAGAAATATGACTTTGCTATTGCAGGCAGGAGGGTAACTGAACTTAGAAATCTGTGAGATCAATCTGCACACATTATATACAAGAAGAAACTTCAGTGTAGAATATCAAAACCTGTGTAAGACTTTCAGCCTCTCATTAATGACAAACTGATTATTTTGTAGGGCTAAAAATAAAGATTAAATATAATCTTGTGAGATTCAGCTGAGTCACATAAAAAATCCCTTAAGATACAAAATGGAAAGTGATAACTTTCAAGTCAGTTTTTGCAGGGACACAGGTGGCAGCTTGCAACATGCTTTGCTTCTGGTTGGCTGTACAAACAATGCAGATAATAAATAACACAGAAGGACAGACAGTATATGTCCTTGAGCCTGGGTCCACCTTGACATTTGATATCAGCGTATCACTTACATATCACACAAATATATTAAGAAATATGGTTTTCCAATATGATTCTGAATTTTGTTTCTCTGCTGTATTACCATTTTTGCAATTTACTTACTAATAATCTAATATGTTAGTTTCTAAGTGCAACCTTAAAAACAAACCTAAAGAATTCTTTGGTTTTAAATGATATAAACTTCATAAAGTACTGCTTCCTGTTTGAGAGTGGATATGGAAAAATAGCTAAATGGGGATCTTTCAAGAGAAATTGTTCATCCATTCCCAACATCATTTATAAGATGCAGATTGGGATGCACCAGGGCTCATAGATTATCTGGTTCTGGAAAAGTTAATTTGAAAGTTTAAAAGGGGAGATGACTCAAAATACTTTGCAAGAAAGCTGAGAAGAAGAAAATGTTAAGATATTCAACAAATCAGTAAGAAGTGTCACTATGGAAACCCTTATTGTCTACGTTTTCCTGAGCAGCTACCAAGGAGCTGTGAACCCACTTACCTCAAGAAAACCCCATCTGTCTGCTGAGAGCTTTCTTGTGAGCAATGCTGGTCAGTGGCCTCCACTTTTGGCTGACTACCCCTTCATTTCTTGGTTTTTCACTGTGCTCACACCTCTGAAGTCCCCAACTCCTCTCGGATGGTATTGGAAGTCTATGCATTGCTGGAAGGGCTACTGGCATTTAGAATACGCTTTGGCACTTTAAATTCAGTTTAATAGTCATTCTGACTACATTTGGTGATGAAAGGGTGCCAAGAAGGCAGTGTATTCATAAGACCATTTCCTTCAATGACTTCACGTATTTCTCTCTCTCTCTCTCTCTCTCTCTCTCTCTCTCTCTCTCTCTCTCTCTCTCTCTCTCTCTCTCTCTCTCTCTCTCTCTGTCTCTGTCTCTCTGTCTCTCTGTCTCTCTCTGTCTCTCTCTCACACACACACACACACACACGGGAGGGTGTTGATTAGTACCATATAATGTTTTCGTTTATACTAATTCTAGTGTCAAGTTACAGAAGTCCCTTAACAAGGAAACCCTCAGTGTTTCTAGTGATTGAAATGCTAAGCTTTCTTTCAAGAGAATACTTAGTGACTTAGTAAGTGTTCTCAGCATTCATGATATATGCACCTCATCAGATATGTGGACTTGTAGAGAGGAAGGAAAGATGAAGATAGAAAATGAGCTGCAGTAAAGAGATTATAACTGAGCCCAAACTAACTTAATCTCGAGAACCAACATGCATGAGGTTGGAGGAAGGGTACATGTTGCATTTGCCTGGCTGTCCTGCATGTCATCCACAGACAGATCTAGAGTAGAAGCCTTTCTGACCTTTGCTGTTCCTTCAACAAAATCCCCATGGTGGGTTATTTAGGAATGTAAGAGGTCCATTTAGCACATGGCTTGGATGCACAAGGCCCAAGTTTAGGCAGCCCCGTTGATGGAGCTTCTGCTGAGAATCTGAAGATGGACCATATCCTGGAGGTGTGTGCCTGGGGGAGAACTAGAGATCACACAGTAATACAGCTTAGACAGGCATGCCATAACCCCTCTCGAGATCACAGCCCTATTGATATAAGAACTTTCGACTAGCTTTTACCTTGGAATGTTTCCATATTCAACACTGGCCTCCTGGGGACCAAGCTTCCAACACAAGAATCCCTGAAAACAAATGGCTTCCTAACCAAAGTATGCCCTGTGAGCACCCTGCCACTGTCTACAGAGATACGGAAGGCATGAGGGGACAGACATGTGTTTCTCAATCACTTAAATCCTTTCAAAAGAAACCCTGGATTTCTGAGTCTTACCTTTGTAGCCCTAAAGATTCAAGTTTTCACAATTCTACTGCTAATACACAAAATACACTCTTTATAAAATTAGAAGCCTTTTTTCACAGTGTTTGTCACTGTTTCATGTATAGATTTACTACTTTCAATTCACATTGGTCCTTGCCCTCTGCTGAGGCATGTAAGAGATTCAACAGGTGGCTCTAGAGCTTTGACTCTCAACCTTCCTAATTGTGTGGTCCTTTAATATAGTTCCTCATTTTGTGGTAACCCTTCATTGCTACTTCACATAACTGTAATTTTGCTACTGTTATGAATCACATTGTAAACATCTGATATTCAGGATATCTTATATGTCTCCCCTCAAAGGGGTTCTTGGCCCACGGATTGAGAGCCATGGTCTGGAGCATCTGGTGAACAAAGACATGAAGAAACCTCGTCCAACATAGTGCCAAGAACAATTATAGTCAGTGGCTTGGGGCTGAAAAGAGAGGCAGGACCTACACACAAAGAGGAGAATTCAAACCAGCTTCAAGTTTATTACAAATTAGAAACTAACTACACCACATTGCAGACTCTTTTGATGTCATTGTTGATATTCATGAATATCAACTTCATCTCTTGGGCCAGCCTTTCTCTGTGCTATGTTATAACCAGCTCAGGTGAACTACTTCAAAGAAATGCATCATTTCTAAATTTCGATCTATATTGTACTTTCTAAGACTTTTATAAGGTTTTTTTAATCAGATGCCATGAATTAAAATGTTAACAACCACATTGTCTTACATTTACAAAGAATTTTTACTTGCTAAACATAAAATCTTTAAAATACCATAAAATGTTCAAATAAAGCAAAGGTCTGATTAAAATTAAAAAAAAATCAGAGAGTTTTTGGGAAAATAAAATAATGGAAGAACACCAGATTATATAGAAAGCTACTCAGATCATTTCAGAACTCCATAGCCTGAGTCCAGATGGAGACAATCTCTGTCTTCTTTAGTTAGCATCTAAGAAAGTCAAATAGACTCTTGAGTGTAAGATTTAAAGCTGTCTCACACATTTTCCCACTGTTTAAAACACACATTTCACGTCTGAAATAACGGATTTAATTTTGAAATTATTTGACATCAATACTTTTACATTTATTTTAAAAGTGCATGTCTTTAAATACTTCAGAACGCCAGAGTTCCCCTAAGCAAGAAGGTGAGATATTGGGTTTTTGTTTTGTTTTTTATTTTTTTGCTTTTGCTTTTGTTCTATTTTTTCTTTCAGCACAATTAACTTCAGAGTTCTCTTGTGGCTCTGCACATTCAGGAACTTGCATGTTGCTCTGAGATGAGCAATGTACACAGAGTGAGCTCTGTCTGAACACCTTTAGGCAAAGAACACTGTACATTTGTCCAGTGGGCTCCAATTACAGAGGCATCTTCACTGTACAAACTCATGCTGCCCCACTGTGAAATTATGCTGTGTTCAATAGGCCTTAAAATTTCTCATTTCTCACCTGTGGGTGAGGTGTTTGACTTACTGTCTGCTTCACATCACCCACTTACATTATGAAGGTAAAGTATGAAGGGCTCTCTAGAATATTCTGTGTCATTCCTCTCTCAGTACCATGCCCACTTTCTGTCATGTAAGCTTGCTAAGTGTGCATTTTAGGTCTGTACAAATTCATGCCACATAGCTCTATAAAAGAAAATTAGTTTTGTTGTCTTAGAGTAGAACAATTTTAACTCCTACCTAGAAATAGTCAAAGGTTAAATGTCAGCATTCAAAACACTTCCATTCTTTCTGATACAGATTTCTTCAGCAAGAGATGGAGACAGGTATAGTGTTGAAGAAACTGGCCCAGAACCTGAAGTCTTGGCATAAAAGACACAGCATCTTGGTAAGGTTATCCCCAATGTGAACATTCCCTCAGCCTCTTGATGTAGTGATCATCAGTGGGTTCTCTGCTTCACTCCTGCAATCCCAGCCCTGGAGATGTGGGAACTGGTAAGTTAGAAGCTCAAGGTCATCCCAGTTACACAGTGAGCCCACGGTTGGCCTCTACCTTGTCTCAGAATGGACAGATAGATAGACAAACCTACAGGTAGAAAAACAGATATAAATAGACAAATGCATATGAGTGATAACTATAGCTTGTAATAACAAAATAAAAATAGTTATTTACTAGCTTTTTAAAGAGTGAAATCATTTGTTGGAGTTCATGAAGATAAAGGACTAAAGCATTTGGTGAAGTAACGACTGGTCGTGTGCCAAATTCTTCACATAATTCTCCCATCTGTAAGCCAATGAGTGTTCAGTCTGTTCTAGTTTACTATTCAAGCTGATGGAAGAGATTGGTAAGACATCAGATCAACGATGGGAAGATTCTTGCCTGAAATAGGTTGAGAAATGGAGTAATAAATGTTTATTTTTCTCTTCTCAGTTTGTAGTTATTTTCTCCAGTTGGGAGCTTTTTCTAACTCTCCGCACCTGCACACAAGCAGCCATATGCTGCTCTCCACTAGGCCACACAGCCTACACTCAGCTCCTAGTTATGATGGGTATAAATCAGGGAGGAACTCCTAGACTATAACTTATATTCAATTTATTGCTACAGACACGTTTATTGGGATAGAATTTTTACAGTCTCATAATATTCTGAGAAGCTCGCCATAAACTATTAACGAGAGAGGAACACTATTAATAATGAACATCCCAGAACACTTATTTTCAGAAAGTTTTTGACCCTGAGAATGAAATTAGTTAAGATGGACTTGAGATAATAAACATGTAGCCTTAATCTGATAAAATATCTGAAAAGAAATGTATCAACCCGATGTCATCATCGCAGAAACATAAATTGCATTAAGGATTTTTGCAAAGTATGAAGGCTTTTAAATATTGATACCTTCATATTATTTTATAAAATATTTATTCCCATTCCCCCTTCCAGTGTGTTATGCAATTCCAAATCATCTGTCATCATTCTAGGGAGGGTTAGTGTTTTAAAAAAAATTCTTTAAGACAAATTTTATTAATTGAGGACCAGGATTAAGTGGCTCTTAAGGCACAAACTTTTAATTGCTATTTATCATAGGGATTTTTTTCTCATTGTCCACTTCAGTTAAATATATCACCACTGACATGTCACATGGTATGCAACCTTAATAAAGGTGACTTAATTAACTTGTCAGGTTTGTCAAGGATGTAGTCGATAGAGAAGCTCTATAGTAGCAACTTGTTTAGTTACTTATTTCTTTTCACTTTGTTTATGCTGATCCTTGCTGCCCAGATTGCAATAATTTATTTTTGGAGGCTGCTTCAGTGACCCGTAATGAAGGAATCCACTCATAGGGCCTTCTGTTGGAAAGTGTCAGGATTTGGCTTTTCTTGCTTAATGTTTTGGTGGATAGGATCGCCCTCCAACATCACAGGCATCCAATAAAATTTGTTGTCCTGGGTCTGCCTACACACACACTTCAGGACAGCACATTATGAACTTCTAACAACTGCCTTCCACACCAGCACATGAGGTTGAACCTCGTGAAATTGTCAGTGTTTGTTTCAAAGAACATATAATACGGGATTTCAATTCTATATAAGCACTGGTTCATCTTCATGTGTGTGTATGGCTGAGCCAGAGAACTGAGAAGTCTAGCTTTCCATGATCAAAGCAGTCTCCCAGTCACTGATATCTGGCCAGGCAGAAGCCCTGCAGAAAAAGTCACAGCATTTTAATTTGAAGCAAGGACTGTGAAATGTCTTTGGTATGTACTGAACTACAGTTGTTTTGTTAAAATTAGAATTTATATTTAGTTCCCAGAAATAAAAGACATAGTATGCATGTTTTCCTAAAATGCTTCCATTTGAAAATTTCAATCTATGAGTTTCTTTCTTTTTTAGTTTAAAATGTGTATATATTCGTGTGTGTGTGTGTGTGTGTGTGTGTGTGTATTAGTCAGGGTTCTTTAGAGCAGAGGTTCTCAAGCTTCCCAGTGCTGCGATCCTTTAATACAGGTCTTCATGTTGTGGTGATTCCCAGCCATAAAATTATTTTATTGCTACTTCATAACTACAATTTTGCTACTGTTATGAATAGTAATGTAAATATCTGATATGCAGTTCCAAAGGTGTCACAATCCACAGGTTGAGAACCACTAATCTAGGAGAATAGAACTCACAGAATGACAATATAAAGGGGATTTACTGGGATGGGTTACAAGGTTGTGGTCCAGCCAGTCCAATACTGACTGTGTGCCAACAGAAGTCCCAAGAATCCAGGAGTTTCTATGTGCATTATGCTGGGTATCTTAGCTAGTCTTCAGTATGTTCCAGGATCCTGAAAAAGTGGACTCCAATGCTGTGAACGATTGGACTGGCTAGCAAGCGAAAGAACAAGCAGACAAAGAGAGAGCAAGCTTCCTTTCTTTCTTGTCCTTTCTATAGGCTTCCAGCAGAAGGTGGGGTCCAGATTAAATGTGGATCTTCCTACTTCAAAAGATCTTGATTAAAGTTCTATCTTCCCATATCAAAACATCTGGATTAAAGTGGGTCTTCGCACTTCATATGAATTAGTTAAGAAAAATAAAATCCCTCATCAGTGCATGCAGATACTTGGGTTTAGTTTATTCTAGAAGTAGTCAAGTTGGCAAGCAAGAATAGCCATCACAGGGGTGTTGTATGGGTGGTTCTCCATTTTGAGTGGTACCTTTTAATTATCTGCATGCCCAATCATACAAAGCCATGAGATGGTAACTGGGGTATTCTTCCTAAATAGTTACTAGAGGGCATAGATTTGCTTTACCTCACCTGTATCCCAAACCAGTGTAGGTCAGATTGGCCCTTCTAGTCTTAATACCCAGATACATGGAATAATATTTGAACAGAAACTGTCTAAATTCGATTGCCAAGAGGGGCAGAGGAACTCATACTAAGGTCCAAGGATGGGAATGCCTGCAGCCTGATTCAGGTGAGGATTGAGGAGCTCTGAGGTTGCTAGGTGCTCTGCATTGAAAAGGGAGTGTGCACAGTATCCTCAGGTAAAGGAACTAAGGGGACAAGTACATTATGACAGGAGGGAATGTGTATAACCCAAACCCATGGAGAACCTAGGGAACTAATTTACATCCACTGCTTGCCTGACTCCTCACTATTTCAACTTTTTATTCAGCTTATGTTTTACATATCTGTCCTCACTTTCTAGAATATTTATGCCATACGTGTGGAGTTCTTTGTTTGTTTTGTTCTGAGAATTATCTCTAACATGTTCGAGTAGTAGCTTTTGAACAAATAGCACATGATTGCATTCCTTGTCCTAAAGGCGCTCTAGTATACCTGCACATATGGCAAACTTTGTAGTCTGCGACTTTTAGAATTGAAAAATCTTAGAATTCCACATTATTACTTGGCAGGTGTTTACTGAGGTTTCCTATGCTAGCACTGTCATTTATCCAAGTCCATAAAGGGCATCAGATGCCCTGGAGCTGGAACCACCTGACCTGGTTATTGGGAAATGAACTACGATCTACTGCAAGTGCAGAAAACACTCTTAACTTCTGAGCCACCTCTCTAGGCTCTACACGTTAGCATTTCAAAATAAGCACCTGTTTGTTTATGCATTGTTTTCATACTGGGTCCTGGACCAAGGATTTCACACACGCTCAGCAAGCACCTGGGCAGAGATCCATATCCCAAGGACATTAGTGTATCACTGCTGTTTGTGTGTGTCATTACTGTGGTACATAGAGTAGGACCTAATGCTACTGTGAGGAGGACCTAATGCTAATGTTCATTGTATACGGTCACTGTGCCACTGAGCCACACCCTACACCCTAGCCTGAAGCCTTTCTTTTTTTAACTTCATGTGCCTGAGTATTTTTCTGTCTGTATGGAATATGAGCCTTGTGGCTGGATTGCCTCTATAGAGACATGAAAAGCCCATAGGAGAACATTTTGTTCTCTCTCTCTCTCTCTCTCTCTCTCTCTCTCTCTCTCTCTCTCTCTCTCTCTCTCTCTCTCTCTCTCTCTCTCTCTCTCACTCTTTCTCTGTCTCTCCCTCTCTCTCTCTGCTTTAACTTGAAATAGACTTTTTCATTGACCTGGAACTATGCTGGTACAAGCCCCATCATCTTCCAGTTTCTTTTGCCTTCAGGTGTTACAGGTGCACAGAGTTGTGCTGAGATCAAAACTCATGTCTTCATGTTTGAACAGCAAGAGCTCTTACCAGCTTAGCCTTCTCCCAGCTCATGACTCACAAGCTCTGTATATACTTATGAAATGTTGCTTGAGGAAATGTTTGTATTGTGTGTGTGTGTGTGTGTGTGTGTGTGTGTGTGCATGTGTGTGTGTAATATTAGCACTGGGAAGTTCTACTGTTTGGGTTTTCTACTGTGTGGGTTGTCCAAGCTTGAAAAGAGAGGATCATACAGTCAGGGCAACTATGAAGTAAGTAGTCACAAGAAGAAAATGCCAAAATGGCCTTGAACATGAACAAAATTTCCTGAGAGAACATTATAAATGAAAGAAGAATATTAAATTATAGATATTTCCACAAACTTTTCTATTATGGCAAGACCATGTTTTAAAGCATAAGCTTAATTCTTCCATGTAGTTAGCAAGAAGATGAGATAATGTAAGCACTGTGTCCTATAAGAAATCTATTTAGGACCCCATCATTTTGGAATAAGTAAGTATTATAGAGAAGAAAGATGTACTAATCAAAATAAAATAAATCTTCACTCTTGTTATTTTTCCTTTAGCCATATTCATATTTTACACAAATATTGGTTCTTCAAAGGATCACAAATTGGCAATGTTTAAATTTGCTCAGTCTGTCAAGTCCAGGCAAACATATCTGTAAGGTTTCTCAGTGTGGAGCCAATAGCATTTTGTGCCTCTAATAGGCCAATTTAAAGGATGCATTG